CAAAATTACTATTCGTCAATACAAAAAAATATTTTTCACTTAGAATGTATTGAAGTCTCGCTCATAAATTTGTCAACTCCATTGAATTATAGAGATGATGAAGTCTCCATTTGCATTGTGTGCATCGTCTAAAAATCGCTAGAGATACGGTATAATAAATAACATCATTTGGTGATGTATTAATTTATGAATCTTGTTACATGCATATCAAGATTTACATAATATCACATGTCACTCTATTATTTATGAGTTTAAAACTCGATCAACTTTTTCATCTCATAATTTTCCTCCACATCATATTATGAAATTTATTATATACATTTTTTTTATGTACAAGTAGCAAAATCTTAATTTATAATGTTGATAAAATGATAAATAATGCCATTCTGAATTTGTTTTGAAAATAGTAAAAAACCATCCAAACAGAGTAGTTGTTACACACTTTCCCATAATGCCATAAAACAGATGACTGAAAGTCACTTTTCCTTAAATCTCAAAGTCTTTTTCATAAATTACGCCTCTGATTGGTGGAGATTACAATTCAAGTTTTAGTAGATTTTAATAAAAGTTGATGAAATGTATGATTGAAAAGTTGTGTGATTAAAATTAATTATTAACTTTGATTTGAAATTGTAATTCAATTTAGCAAAAAAAGTCAGAAAAAGCTGTGCAGACTCTGACAAAAAAGTAGATTATCATAATAATCTTGCCTTCTTCCCGTGGAGAATCTATTAGCCAGCAGCCCAGAATCAAGGAAAATTATGTCAAAAACTGTTTAAAAGAAAGAGATCGTTTTTTTTCACGAAAGAGTTACATAATAATTTATATACAGATGAAATGTCAAAAGGAGGGGAGAAATTTCAACCCAATGATATCTCACTACGTCCTATACATATAAGCCATTATGTAAAACAAAACGAGTAATACTATTTGACTTCACTAGAGTCATAATATGAATCAATATAGCGTTAACGTGACATTTTTAATTCTCTTGAATCATGCCAAACAAGCCATTCATGCACTTAATATGTTTTAACATGCATGTAACATGCGATTCACTATGCTCATGTGTGTTTCATTGATGTGAATCAAGTTCAATAAGAATGAAACATTTATGCACCTCTCTTACATTCATCGTGTATGATACATTTTAACTTGCCTGTAAGATTTGATTTGGTGCATTTAAACTTGTTTTATGGACACGGATCGAATTCAACTCCAATAGCACAACATCATGAACTATATATCCTTAACAATATGATATTATCCACTTCTTTTTCACTAGATTAGACAAAGTCGGATATCGGACAAGAAGGAAAGGTGACAAAGATTCTACAAATGTAACAAATCAGAGAAATCCGATGTAAAAAACACGAGCACAAGTTAAGATTCATATGTATAAACTACTTTATAAACTGTTCGTAAATTTGCTTAATGGAACCCAATTAGAAATCATATTCAGCCTCATAAAATTAGTATTAATATGGTAGTTTTAAAATTTTATTATTATAGTGTAATTCTTTGATTTTCCAATTACACTAAAATTATTGATTTTTCGACTTCAACTTGAGAATTGGGATTTTTGTTATGGTACTTTTCTAGGGTTTACTCTTGACTTCTGTTCCCATCGAAAATTTGAAAGTTGAATCCCCTACCAAAGTGACTGAACCACCACTTCTTGATCCGTTCTTTCCAAGTGCTTATTTAATAAAATCTTACTGAAAGTAGAGCCCTCCAAGTTTCCGCTTCGATCATAAAAGTCCTTGTACTGATATCAATTGTTACAAGTAATTAACTATAAACTCACAAGACATACTAATCATAGGGTGTGTTTGAGCCCCTTTTTTGGGGGAAAAATAGGTTTTACGATAGTGATTTTTTTTGAGATTATAAACTCACATGACTTGTAAAATAGAAGTGTTCAAGTAAGGGGAAAATAGGCTTTGTAATAGGTTTTTTTTTTTTTTTATATTATATAGTTAAAAATGGGAAAAGTTATGGGGTTGACGTGTAAAATCATTTTATTGGAATAATATGTGGTTGAAAATGTATTTGATTAAAACGAATTTTTCAAAAATAAGGATAAAACAGGGACCCTTGTTTGGATTCCATTAAAATCAAATTCTGGGAAAAAAATATTTTTTGAAATAATGATTTTTTAAAGAATGTATGATAAAAAATAATGAAAAGTTTTGAATTTACGTATAATATTATTTCATTGGAGAATATTTGATTGAAAAGAAGAGAGAAAAAAATGTATTTTTAACATAATGAAGCCCCATTCATAGCAAGTAATAAAAATATGTGACGAAATATGATACAACTTGACGAGCATTGTCATTCTACAAAACTTGTCCAAGATTTTGCATAATGCATCAACATAATTTGATTTTGTTCATATTTATTAATATATGTTGGATGATGCTGTAATTATATCGTGGATTATAGTTAATCTTCTAGATTATGTTTTGTTTATAGTTAATCTTAAACCCTAGAAAAGTACCATAACAAAAATCCCAATTCTCAAGTTGAAGTCAAAAAATCAATAATTTTAGTGTAATTGGAAAATCAAAGAATTACACTATAATAATAAAATTTTAAAACTACCATATTAATACTAATTTTATGAGGCTGAATATGATTTCTAATTGGGTTCCATTAAGCAAATTTACAAACAGTTTATAAAAGTAGTTTATACATATGAATCTTAACTTGTACTCGTGTTTTTACATCAAATTTCTATGATTTGTCACATTTGTAGAATCTTTGTCACCTTTCCTTCTTGTCCGATATCCGACTTAGTTGTCTAATCTAGTGAAAAAGAAGTGGATAATATCATATTGTTAAGGATATATAGTTCATGATGTTGTGCTATTGGAGTTGAATTCGATCTGTGTCCATAAAACAAGTTTAAATGCACCAAATCAAATCTTACAGGCAAGTTAAAATGTATCATACACGATGAATGTAAGAGAGGTGCATAAATGTGTCATTCTTATTGAACTTGATTCACATCAATGAAACACACATGAGCATAGTGAATCGCATGTTACATGCATGTTAAAACATATTAAGTGCATGAATGGCTTGTTTGGCATGACTCATGAGAATTAAAAATGTCACGTTAACGCTATATAGATTCAAATTATGACTCAAGTGAAGCCAAATAGTATTACTCGTTTTGTTTTACATAATGGCTTATATGTATAGGACGTAGTGAGATATCATTGGGTTGAAATTTCTCCCCTTCTTTTGACATTTCATCTGTATATAAATTATTATGTAACTCTTTCGTGAAAAAAAACAATCTCTTTCTTTTAAACAGTTTTTGCATAATGCATCAACATAATTTGATTTTGTTCATATTTATTAATATATGTTGGATGATGCTGTAATTATATCGTGGATTATAGTTAATCTTCTAGATTATGTTTTGTTTATAGTTAATCACGTGGTTTTTATGCTAAAAATCGCTACAGATACGGTATAATAAATAACATCATTTGGTGTTGTATTAATTTATGAATCTTGTTACATGTATCAAAATTTACATAATGGACTACATATTATCACATGTCACTCTATCATTTGTCAATTTAAAACTCAATCAATTTTTTCATCCAATATTTTTCTTCCACATTATATTATGTCGTTTTTTATATACATTTTTTTTATGTACGAGTAGCAAAATTCTTAATTTATTATGTTGATAGAACGATAAATAACGCCATTCTGATTTAGGCGGCCACCAGAATATTGCCAGAACAGAGAGAAAATGCGCTAGACCCACCAAATGTGTGTATTTTGGTGAATTTCTGGTGAAATCCTTTCGTACATCCAGCATCTCCCGATACAGATAACTGAAAGTTACTTTTCCTGTATTCTTTCTTTTAGCATGTCTTAAATCTCACGTCTTTTTCATAAATTACGTTTATGATTGGTAGAGATTAGTAGATTTTGATAAAAGTTGATAAAATATATGATTGAAAAATTGTGGATCCCATAAAATGTGTGGTTAAAATTAATTATTGACTTTGATTTGAAATTTTAATTGAATTTTAATACAAATTAATATAAAAAGTCAAAAAAAGCTGTGCAGACTGACAAAATGTAGATTATCATAATAATCTTGCCTTATTCCCGTAAAGAATCTTTAATAATCAGCAGCCCAGAATCAAGGAAAATTATGTCAAAAACTGTTTAAAAGAAAGAGATGGTTTTTTCAGAAAAAGGGTTAAGAATAACGACGTTTGTACGTAAAGAGTTATATAATGACTTATATACAGATGAGAAGTCAAAAAAAGAGGGAACGTTTTTTTTTTTTTATTATTTGATTTAAAAAGTTATAACTCAATCATATTTCACAATGTCATACAATTATGTAAAACAAAACGAGTAATACTATTTGGTTTCACTGGTGGAACAACTGTTTTCCTCATTTCGACACCACTTGCACCACCAACCACAACTACCTAAACCCCCCCCCCCCACCCACCCAAACACAGCTTAAAAATCCCGTCTTTTTCCTTCTCCTCGTCCATTTCTTGAGTGTTTAAAAATTACTTTACAAAATAAGTAATTTAAAAGTAAATAAGTGGCTTTTTAAGCTTAACCAAACACTAGGATTAGAATAACTAGCTAGCAAGGTAGGAATGCGAAGAAGTTGAAGGAGGCTGCAAAGGAGATGCAACCACAGAGAGATCTCTCTCTCTCTCTCTGGCGCGCGCGCACACAATTCTTCCCATGTCGGATGTCCCCATCAGAGTCCCCGCTCCAAGTTTCTTCCTTTCTTCATGTTTAAATAAACACGCTAAAATACCTCCAAAAACCCTACGAATAAAGCAAATTCTTTTTTGTTTACACTAATAACATCATTATTGTATAGCATTCAAGAAGAAAGAAATCTCTTCTTTCCTTTGGAGTCTCTTTTACAGATATAAACAATAACAGAGCAAAAGCAAAACACCTGTGAATTGTAATTATTTTTTGTTCCGCCAACAATGTTTCCTCGTACCAGCATTTTCTTGTATTGTATCTTCGTCGCTCTCTCTTCTTTCAGCATAACTGCCAGTTTACAAAATCTCACCCTCCCTCATCAACATCCCAACCCTGAAGCTGTTGTTCAGGAAGTACAAAGGTATTTGTATTTGTATGTATGAACAAACTACATTGTTGTACTGTCAGTCACATCTAGTTTTTCTCATTATTGCAATTTCTGGAGTGTCAAGACTTGAAACCGTTCTGTACGGACTTTGCCTTTTGAAAAGTTGGGTTTTTCTGAATTTGCAACCGAACCTGAAATTCTGCATTTGGGTTTTGCCGATAATAAAAAACAATCCCGTTCTCTTTTCAACAAGATTTCAAATCGGGAGTTGATATGGATTTTGATATTTTTACAGAATTCATAATCTTTGTTTCAATTATTTGTCGAAGAAATCATTTTGCCTTCTATATATATCTCTGTTTTCAATTTTCTTCATTAATTGCCAATTTACATTCCTTTTCAATTTTATGATGTGCAAAACAGGAGGGTCAATGTATCAATATCAAGAAGGAAAACGTTATCAGACCAAGCCCAATGTCTAACCGGCAATCCAATAGATGACTGCTGGCGGTGCGACCCCAACTGGGCCGCCAACCGCCAGCGCCTGGCGGACTGCGCCATTGGCTTTGGCCAAGGAGCATTGGGCGGCAAAGGCGGCCAAATCTATGTAGTCACAGACTCCTCCGACCACGACACTGCCAACCCAACTCCTGGTACCCTCCGCCACGCTGTCATCCAAGATGTCCCCCTATGGATAATTTTTCAATCCAACATGGTTATCAAACTCAAACACGAGCTTATAATTAACAATTACAAAACCATTGATGGGCGTGGTGCAAATGTGCACATAACCGGCCATGGCTGCTTAACTTTGCAGCATATCAGCAATGTCATCATTCATAGTGTCCACATTTACAATTGTTTACCATCGGGAAATACGATCATAAGGTCGAGCCCAAGTCATGCCGGGTGGAGAGGCAAATCAGACGGTGATGGGATATCCATTTCTGGTTCCAGGAATATTTGGATTGATCACTGTGCCTTGTCACATTGTACCGATGGCTTGATCGATGCCATTCTTGGCTCCACTGCCATTACAATTTCTAACAACTACTTTTCTCACCACGACGAGGTCATGCTATTAGGACATAATGACAAGTACTTGGCTGATTCAGGAATGCAGGTTAGAATCGTGTGTTTCTGGTTTTGTTTCCCGGGCATGTTCCGGTTTTCTGCTAAGAATGTCTGTGTTGTTGAGTAGGTGACAATAGCCTTCAATCACTTCGGGGAAGGTCTGGTGCAGAGGATGCCAAGGTGCAGGCGAGGGTATATACATGTGGTGAATAATGATTTTACTAAATGGGAGATGTATGCAATTGGTGGAAGTGCTAATCCTACAATAAACAGTCAGGGCAATCGCTATACTGCGCCACCAGACCCAAA